CCCCTGTCCCCCGGGATCAACTCCGGGACACCCAGGATCCCGCAGCCCAGGAAAACACCCGGGACCGTTTAGCACCCCCAGCTCCCGGTGTCCTCAAACACCCCTCAGCCGCCGGGACCCCCCCGGGAACCACCAGGGCTTCCCACGACCACCCAGGGCTACCCCAGCCTCGGGACCCCCGCCCGTCCCCGCCGGGTCCTAGTGCCCCCCTGAGCAGGGGAGGAGGAGGAGGAGGAGAAGGAGCCCAGGCAGGGCGTGGGGGTGTCAGGCTGGAGATCCCGGAGGTGCAAAGGCTCAGGGGTCGAGAGCAGCCGAGCAGGGAGCGGGTCCGCTCAGGGAGCTGGGGCTGCGGGTGCCTTGTGTCCCCAGGCAGACACAGGCTGCCCCCGGGGCAGGGAGGGCTGGGGGTCCCTCCCTCCCCAGCTTCATGAGGATGGGACCGTGATGCCACAGAGAATCGTGGCCTCAAACGTGGGACACTGACCTCCTCGTGCTTCCTGCAGCCACCCCTGTCCCAAACAAGCACATCAGTGTCACTTTGGGGAATGACTTACCCAGCCCTGGGCTGAGACATCCTGTATCTTCTCAGCGATGGGGCTGAGGAATCTGGTATCTTCCTGATGGTCAGGCTGGGAGAACCAGTATCTCCCTGGTATTCAGCTGTGGCCAGGATTTGTTGTCAGCTCCTTGCTTGCTCCTGGTGTCTCCACAGTCTGCCAGAAAATGCATTTTCAGATTGAAAGATTGAAGGAGTAATTGTGTTCACAGAGATAAAGTGCTGAAAGTTTCCTAACCCGTGGAGTGAAGAAAAGGACAAGGGGAAAACTCACTTTTTATCAGATGAGGTTTCAGTCACAGGCAGAGGTGTCCCATTTATCCCAGATACTGGGCATCCAAAATGTGAAGGATGGTCCTGATGCTGGGTGAATCAAGTCCAGTGCTTCACAGGCAAATTTCTAAGCCTGGGCTGCAAAGACCTGGGTGGATAAAATGCTTTTTGCCTCAACTCAGGGAGCAGGAATCTGCCCCCAGCTCTGGCTTGCTGTAGCAAATAGTATTTTCCCATTTTCTCTTGGAAACCTCATCCCCCCATTTGGCTCTAAGAAGACAATCCCTGTCGTTTTTCACTGCCTCCCATGACATTTAATTCACCTTTGGGTCAGTTATAAAGGACAAGTATTCTGTTCTTCTCTTTCTCTCCTCAGAGCATCAGGGCCTGTGTCCCTGCCATCCTCACACTTCTGCCTATGGCCCCAGGCTGGGGAGGTACTGCAGGTCCCCCTGCCCTTGGACACCTCCCCAGGCTGCACTTTGCTCTCACTTTTCCTCCTTTTTCAAAAATAGATTCACTTTAACCTCCCACCCCTAGAAATTACATCTGTTTGATCACACTATTCAGGCTGTACTCACCTACAGAGTTAGCAGTTCCCTCTCCAGGAGCCCCAATTCCCCTGCTTCTCCCTCTGCAGCCTCTCACCCCAGCCTGCCACCTGAGCCCTTGCACTCCTGGCCATTTCAGCACACGTTACAGAAACACCCATCACCTACCTCCACGTGAGGACCAGTCTGAGGGCATCCACACCATCCTGCCAGGCTCAGGGAGCTGTCAGGCAAAAGGCACCACTACAATTATCTGCAGTAATGAGCATGGCTGCCCCCTGGCAAGAACACAGCCTGGTTATTACTGGTGCAGTGTCCTGGTTGCTTTATCGTGGGCCATCAGCAGAGCTGCAATAGATTGTCCCTCTCTGAAGTTGCCCCCCAGTCCCAGTAAGACTCCCATCTGCCTTGGTCCTTCTCTAAGCTGAATAAATACCCTCTTTGTGCATATTGCTCACTGTGGCTGGCACAGAGTTATTTCAACAGATGGGAACCTGTCACCTGCAGCTCCCCAAGATGGAAACACCCAGGCCCGAAGATCCTGGTCAGGAACCATCCTCCACTACAGCATGGCACTAGGAGTTAGTTGTGAAGCAGCACAAATCAGGAGATAAATGAGTAATGGTAAGATTGAATCTCATTACATGTGTCTGTGGGAAGAAGGGGGAGTGTGGGCATGTGTCCTTACTCACATAATTCCGAGGTTTGCACACTGGGCTGCTCTGGGGTGACTCTCACATGGACTTCCAGCTGTTTGTCCTGCTGCTGCTGTACCCAGCAGTGCTGAGGGTCCTCTGGATACAGACCAGGGCAGAGACAGCTAAGACTTCTAAAATACAATAATCAGTGCCTGCTTCCAGGAGTTAATGGAAAACAGTATTTATTCCAAATGGGAGGAAAGGAGGTATCTGTCTCCAAATACTCACCCTTCCTTGCCTATTCCCCTTCCACCCTCCTCCTCAGAGAAGATTTGGGATTATCTGTCCTGTGAATCCTGCCCTCTAACAACCAGACAGGCTGGCTGGGAGCTGGAATTGCTCACAGCATCTTCCCAAGGGAAAAGACCCCCCTGTGCCCAGGTTATGGCCATAGCTTGGCTGAAGCTGCCCTGCCCTGCAGGAGCACAGCGCGATGCTCCTGCCTGGCAGCGGGAGGCTCAACAGGGCTGTTTCCAAGCAGATCACTGTGGCAGAAACTCCCACAGGCTTTTAGAGAGACATCAAAGAAGTACAAAGAAATGCCTCCCAGGCACCACAAGATGAGTCCTTGCATCTTAATAAATTCACCCCGGGGGAGGGGCGGGGGGGTGGCCACTAGTGGGACAGTCACATCCTTGGTGCTCTCTGCTTTTCATTGGGATTTGAGACCTTTCAAACCCCTGAGATGTCTCAGCTGAGCAAGAGTAGAGCTGAAAATGAGGCCCAGCTTGCAACATAGTCACCTGCTTAAAACACAAGATGATGTTTCCCCTTCCCTCACCTTTATTTGATGCATCGAGGCACTAGACATGGTGTTCAGCAGCTCCACGTGGCCACGCAGCCCCAAAACTGGTGCCTGCCTGTTAACAATCCTGTAAGCCCTGAGCTGTTTGCCCAGCTGGTGGGGCAGTGGTACCAGATGGTCAAAAAGTTTATTCCTGACACACCCCTGCCTGCCAAGCGTGGGCAGGGGAGCTGTCAGTGGCACCGTGTGTGGGAGGGGAGAAGGCACGAACCCTGTGTAAGCTTCCTGAGGGGAAACTTGGGGTTCTTGTGCTTCCTCAAACCCATGCCAGGAATTGGTTTTGTGGGATCAGGAAACAAAAATAATAATAATAAAGAATCCCGCAGAGACCAGAGAAGTGTTTTTTTTCAAACCTGGAACATTGTGTAGGATCATTGTGGATAATTATTCCCCTCGATGCTTTGGGGCCCTGACAATTCAGCAGTTATTAGCACAGTGATGACAATGGCATTAAAGCACCTGCTGGAGCAGCTCCTCCTGTCTGAGCCCCTGAGCCAGCCCGTGTCCATTGCAGGGCTGGGGTGAAGGGGACCTGTCTGTGTCTGTCACACACACCTGGTGACTTTGCCTACATGTTGTCAAAATAGCCAGGTTGGCTGAGCAGGCTGATTTTCATTTTCCATTAAAGACTCCTGCAGGAGCTATAATGTTCCGGATGTGACTGAGATTTGTATTTAAGGTGAGGCCAACCAGCTTGACACTTATTAAGAATTATTTTCTTCCAGTTTGACTTAAATGCAAATATTTTTATGGCCAAAGATAATGATTCTTTTAACTAACATTCCATGTCCATTTCTTTTAACATATTCTTGCATCTTTCTCTGCTGGCATCACCTGTAGGTGCTGTTCTGTGAACACCTGCCTTCACCCACTGGTTGAAATGTCAGCATGGAGAGGTCTTAGTTTTTCTGGGAGTTCCCAGATGAGAATTACTGTGTCCCTGGGAGGTGTGGCTGTTTCTGGAAACAGGTGCCTGTGCAGCCCAGGAGCTGTGTTAGCAGCACTGCACCTGGACTGGGAGCTTGGCAAGTTCAGCACCAGCTTCAGCATCTCCCCACACTCCTCCTGCAGCTCATCCCTGTCACTCAGCCTTGCTGGGCAGCTCATTTAGTCCTATGGACAGAAAAGACCTCTGAGGCTTCACATATTTAATAAACAGAGCTGGGAGAAAGCAAGCCTCTTACCCAAATGTGTAATAAACACCTCTCCATCCTCCTCATAACCAACAAATATTAAACCCATAAAACTTCTGCTGCTGGAGCTGGGGCACAGAGGCTGCATCCACACAGGGCTGGTGAGCACGGAGAAGCTGCATCACAAAGAGGCAACAAGTGGGCTGGGGGGGGAACACACACTGGGTTACTGGATTTTGGCCTCAATTTTGAATTGTGAGTGATCATGGGGACATACTTTCCACCTCTGTACCCCTACTGGAAAGTGCTGGTGGCTCTGCAGAGCAGCCTGAGGGCTGGTAAGTGTGATTAGAGACGTGGGGATGAGTCAGGCTGTTAAAAGCAGCATTATTGCTCACTCAGAAAGACAAGGGAGGGAGAAGTTCTGTTAAAATTGTCTTCACCTGTTCTGGAGGCACAGCCTGGAAGCAAATTGCTTTGGGGCTTTATGTGTTAATGACCTTAGAGATCAAACC